GGAGGAAGAGAATGGTATGATAGATGGAGAAGCAATAGGCAAAAGAGGAAGAGAAGTAGGATAAGGAGAGAAGTAGGAGAAGGAGAGAAGTAGGCAGCGTAGCGTATAGTGTTGGTGGGGAGGTGGGGGAGGAGGAAGAGGTGGAGGAGGAGGAAGAGGTTGGGGAGGAGGAGAAGGTGGGGAAGGAGGAAGAGATGCAGAAGGAGGAGGAGGGAGGGAGGAGGGCAGTATCTCGCTGAGTAGGCAGCACCAATAACTGTAATGGTTGTAGCACAGTCCCTCACTTTTTCACCTCGTAGAGAAAGAGAGAGAGAGAGAGAGAGAGAGAGAGAGAGAGAGAGCCCAATTTTTTCTGTGTATGGATGTCTCTGAAAACAATTCCTCTCTCTCTCTCTCTCTTTCTCTCTCTCTCTCTCTCTCACACACATCAACACCCAGCTCAGGTATTTATAAAACTATCTACCTGTCTATTACATCAGCCATGCGAGTGTTTCCAGGTACACCCAACACCTCTCCCGCCAAGTGTTGTTGTCTTGCGGCTGATAATGTAGACTGACAGGTGAACTACAGGTAGACCGACCCTCCCTGATGAGGCTGCCTGCCAGTGTGTAAAGGTGCACTCACCACCTCCCACCACCCGCCCACTAACTCCACTATGATTATGATAAAGGAAACCGATGCTAACTTGATCTGTGTTAACTTTATTTAAACTAATCAATATTAACTTGAGCTAACCTTATTTTTCACCTAATGTATCGAAATAAACTAATCTAACTTCATCCATTGCCATATAACCTAACCTAACCTAACCTAACCGAATTGAAAAACTCTCGTTGTGTCGTAGCTAAAGTGAGACAGTTAGATACGTACTCCGATCAGCAGTTAGTTGACACCTGGAGAACGCGTCCTTATCTCTGTTGCTGTAGGTGAATCATGATACAGTCTTGTCAACTTTACCCTACCTTTCCTCCCCTCCCCCCCCCCTCCCCATTTCTCTCCCCTTCCAACACTCTCACTCCCACCTCCTCACCTTCCTCCCCACCTATCCACCCCACCACTCCTACCTACCTCCCCACCTACACCTCACTCCCACCTCCTCACCTTCCTCCCCACCTATCCACCCCACCACTCCTACCTACCTCCCCACCTACACCTCACTCCCACCTCCTCACCTTCCTCCCCACCTATCCACCCCACCACTCCTACCTACCTCCCCACCTACACCTCACTCCCACTTCCTCACCTTCCTCCCCACCTATCCACCCCACCACTCCTACCTACCTCCCCACCGACACTCACTCCCATGATCCTCACTTCCTCACCTCTAATCTCTTGACCCTTCCTCACGCCCCACCTTCCCACCTCCCCACTCCTCCCTACCTGAGCTTTTCATTAAAAATTGTCTTTGATAACGGGAGGAGGGAGGCGGGAGGAAGCTGGCGGGAGGAAGGTTCTACAGCAATAAAACTCTTCCTGCCTTCACCTGCTTCCTACAAATATTTTTTTATTTATTTTTTTATTTTTTTTTTGTCGAGTTGAAAAGATCACCTGGAGATTGGTCGACGAATTTTTTTTAATGTGTAGCTGCAGGCAAGTGTTTGTTTGTTTGTTTGTTTATTAGTTTGTTTGTTTCTTTGTTTCGTTGTTTGTTTGTTTGTGTGATGGAAGTTTATAAATTTATTGTCTGTGTATTAGATTTTTTTTTGTTTTTATTTTTAACTTTTTGTTTGTTTTTTGTTTGAGTTTTTTGTGAGAATGTGTTTGTGTGTGTGAGAGAGAGAGAGAGAGAGAGAGAGAGAGAGAGAGAGAGAGAGATTATATAACATTTAAAAACTTACTTTACTGATGTGATGTGATAAATCTACATAACTTGGCGGATGTTTATGTAAGTGGCATCATTTTTGGCGACGTTATTAAATGTTTCTTTCCTTGATGGAAACAAAGACCAAAACATGTCATGAATGTTGCTGCCAATAATGGATATAACAATGCTGTTGGACAGTGATGCCGTGTACTGCACCTGTTAATGGGTAAAACAATCGACGTTTTGCTCAACCCTGTATTAAACAATGGGTCTTGTACACGACCCGGTAAGTGACGTAGATGGAATCGGTGAGCCTACCTGTGCTGTATCTTTATGCAAACCTGTAACTTGTATATCTATACCATGATTTTATCAAGGGTTTATTTCACGGATGACCATAAGTGGCACCGATCATGCTCTTAATATTGTTTTTAAATCGGCAAGTACACTCTGGTAGTCGGGGCAGTACTTGTCGTCGACAATTCGTCTTTTTCTGTCAGCGACAAAAATCATTATGATTTTATTCACCGTTTTGTCGGCTATTATAGAATCAGTACAAACCTCCACCAAGTGGAGGAAGGAGTACAGGTCGGTGGTGGGGTGCATGGTCCTCCCCGGAATATGAGGGGGCATATCCAGGGACAAACCTCCTCATCATCGCGGCTCAGGGACAAATAACCGCCAGAGATAGCGCTTAGCCCAAGGTCAATTATATTTATTTTATTTTCATTGTCCAACTCCTCTACTATGATGTTGTCGCATTTAAAATCATTATGGATAATTTGTTCTTCATTAAGATTCTCAAGTTGGTAAGCGACCGCGGAGAGAAGGTAATAAAATGCCCTGGTATTCGGTGGGTGTTGTACAATATACTCGCGGAGGTTTTAGTACCCGACGAAGGACATCACGAGAAAGAGCGGCTGGAGTACCGCCTGCACCGCCAGCTATCATGTGTGTCATTGCCTCATTTTCATATGGTACTGGTGTTGTAGTAAACATATGGTACTGGTGTTGTAATAAACATATGGTACTGGTGTTGTAGTAAACATATGGTACTGGTGTTGCAGTAAACATATGGTACTGGTGTTGTAGTGAACATATGGTACTGGTGTTGTAGTAAACATATGGTACTGGTGTTGTAGTGAACATATGGTACTGGTGTTGTAGTGAACATATGGCACTTGTGTTGTAGTGAACATATGGTACTTATGTTGTAGTAAACATATGGTACTGGTGTTGCAGTAAACATATGGTACTGGTGTTGTAGTAAACATATGGTACTGGTGATGTAGTGAACATATGGCACTTGTGTTGTAGTGATCATATGGTACTGGTGTTGTAGTAAACATATGGTACTGGTGTTGTAATAAACATATGGTACTGGTGTTGTAGTAAACATATGGTACTGGTGTTGTAGTAAACATATGGTACTGGTGTTGTAGTAAACATATGGTACTGGTGATGTAGTGAACATATGGCAGTTGTGTTGTAGTGAACATATGGTACTGGTGTTGTAGTGAACATATGGTACTGGTGTTGTAGTGAACATATGGCACTTGTGTTGTAGTGAACATATGGTACTGGTGTTGCAGTAAACATATGGTACTGGTGTTGTAGTAAACATATGGTACTGGTGATGTAGTGAACATATGGCACTTGTGTTGTAGTGATCATATGGTACTGGTGTTGTAGTAAACATATGGTACTGGTGTTGTAATAAACATATGGTACTGGTGTTGTAGTAAACATATGGTACTGGTGTTGCAGTAAACATATGGTACTGGTGTTGTAGTAAACATATGGTACTGGTGATGTAGTGAACATATGGCAGTTGTGTTGTAGTGAACATATGGTACTGGTGTTGTAGTAAACATATGGTACTGGTGTTGTAGTGAACATATGGTACTGGTGTTGTAGTGAACATATGGCACTTGTGTTGTAGTGAACATATGGTACTTATGTTGTAGTAAATATATGGTACTCGTGTTGTAGTAAAGATATGGTTCTGGTGTTGTAGTAAACATATGGTACTGGTATTGTAGTAAACATATGGTACTGGTGTTGTAGTGAACATATGGTACTGGTGTTGTAGTGAACATATGGCACTTGTGTTGTAGTGAACATATGTTACTTATGTTGTAGTAAATATATGGTACTCGTGTTGTAGTAAAGATATGGTTCTGGTGTTGTAGTAAACATATGGTACTGGTGTTGTAGTAAACATATGGTACTGGTGTTGTAGTAAACTTATGTTACTGGTGATGTAATTAAACATATGTCAAGTCGAACAACATTGAGCGGTTTTTACATTACGTGCATAAATAACCGGCTGGTAAATGATTCCAATGACCCATGAATCAGTCCTAACTGGCGGTGCCATTATCTACATATTATTTATCTAACTATCTAACATACTTGAACCATTGCAAGTGTGAAGCAAAGTATCCAATTACCACATATGAGCAATCTATTAAGTATTTCAAGAATTACCTACTACCTGGAGAGAGAGTTGCATCATACTTCGGCAACTGGATAAGACTAAACATCTGCAGGATGTTTTAGTCCCCTGAGCAACCTTTACCCTCTTCAGGTCATTGAATAATTAATGTTCATAATTATACATCCATAGTTATAAGTTATTAATTACTTACTCTACATTAAACAGTATGTAAATTATACTGGTTACATGTGTGTGTGTGGGGGAGGGGGGGTGGGATGTGTAGATAGATAAATAGATAGAACGAAATACTACATATATATCTATATTTATATATAAAAGAGAAAAATATTAACCATTCTATCACATCGGGGGGTTACCGAATAACCATTGGAGGATTAAATCTTCAATGTAGCGTTTGGCCTCCTCTACCCGCTATATGTCTGTACTGGTGATACTGACATGGTTTTTATTGGTGTTGAGTCCCAGCAACACTCCGTATTTTTGGCCTATTTGTTTAATATGGGCGCCCTTGTGACCTATGAATGCTCCGTGAAATTTTTTGGGTATTTTAACGCTCTACGTGATTTGATTTTGGCTGGACTGCAGTTTTGCGACGGCTGGTGATTCCCGTTCCGCTGTGGCTGGTGACCCAGGTTCCGCTGCGGCTGGTGACTCCGGTTCCGCTGTGGCTAGGGAGTAAGCGAGTGACCATTGGAGGATTAAGTCTTCAATGTAGCGTTTGGCCTCCTCTACCCGCTATATGTCTGTACTGGTGATACTGATATTATTTTTATAGGTGTTGAGTTTCAGCAACACTCCGTATTTTTGGCCTATTTGTTTAATATGGGCGCCCTTGTGACCAATGAATGTGCCGTGAAATTTTTTGGGTATTTTAACGCTCCTCGTGATTTGATTTTGGCTGGACTGCTGTTTCGCTACGGCTGGTGATTCCGGTTCCACTGTGGTTGGTGATTCCAGTTCCGCTGCGGCTGGTGATTTCGGTTCTGCTTCGGCTGGTGAATCTGGTTCCGCTGCAGCTGGTGACTCCGGTTCCGCTGCGTTTGGTGACTCTGGTTCCGCTGCGGCTTGTGACCCTGGTTCCGCTTCGGCTGGTGACTCCAGTTCCGCTACGGCTGGTGACTGCGGCTCCGCTTCGGCTGGTGACTCCTGTTCTGCATCGGTTGGTGATTCTGGTTCTGCATCGGTTGGTGACTCTGGTTCTGCTGCGGCTGGTGACTCTGGTTCTGTTGCAGCTGGTGACTCCGTTTCCGCTGTGACTGGTGATTCCGGCTCCGCTTCGGCTGGTGACTCCGATTCTGCATCGGTTGGTGACTCTGGTTCTGCTGTGGCTAGTGACTCTAATTCCCCTAGGGTCGACTCAGCCTAGCCTGGGTTGTGGTCGTCCTCTCTAAAGCGACGACGGATTTTACAACATAAATACACACAAGTACAACAAACAATAAACACTAACAGTACCGTTCCTATGATAAATGACCCAGAGGTAAAACGTGGGACGTCGCTCTCGGAGGCCTTCTTCAGCGCCTCCGTCACCCTCTTCATCTCAATTTTGATTTTTCTAGCAAGTAAAATGTCGCCCAAAAGAGGCACGTGGTCGCATAAACCTGGTTTGGGCTTTTATAGGGTTGGGAGCTCACCTATCCCAGGGCTAATAAGTTTTAGTCCCCTTAAAATTCTGTAGTAGAGGCTCAC